CTAAAACAGCTTCACTTTTACTCCAGTCCACTTTAGCAGATGATAAAATCCTAAAATCATTTAAAACATCCACTAAAATGTCCACATCTCTCTGTGAGCTGATTAAAACCACTAAGTCGTCCGCATAGATCGAAACACAGACAGGTGTGCTACAGTTTGGTATCTCAAGGCCAGAGAGCTTCTGTCTCAGCTGGCACAGCAGAGGCTCAATTGATAATGAGTACAACATGCCAGAGAGAGCACAGCCCTGTCTGATGCCTCTGTGGACTTTAAAAGGAGCACATAAACCACCACCAACCTTGAGTACACTCTCAATGTCACTGTACAGAACCTTGATCATAGCTATAAAACCTGGGCTGAACCCAAAGTTCTCCAGAACTTTCCACAAATATGCATGCTCAACCCGGTCAAAAGCCTTTTCCTGGTCTAAGAAAACAAGACCAGTCCTCAAGCCCAATAGCCTAGAGACGTCCAAAACATCCAGAATTAAAGAAATATTATCAAAAATAGACCTACCAGGCACACAGTACGTCTGGTCAAGATGTATCACCTGCTCCATCACCTTCCCCAGTCTTGAGGCTAATGCTTTAGAGAGCAACTTGCAGTCTGTGCACAGCAATGCCACAGGGCACCAGTTCTTCAGCCCCGTCAGGTCTCCTTTTTCGGTAGCAAGGTCAGGACAGCTCTCCTGCAGCTCAGAGGAAGTTTTCCTTCCTGTACACTGACCTGGGGCACTTCAAGCACATCCTGACCCAATATAGGCCAAAATGCCTTGTAAAATTCCACAGGGAGACCATCAATTCCTGGTGCCCGGCCGTTTTCCATACCCTGAAGGGCCTCGTGCAACTCTCCCAAGGATAGCTCAGCATCAAGCAGGGTGGCAGACTGCTGCGTGATTCTGGCCTGCAGTGGGAAGAACCTCTCCTCCACCTCCTGGGAACTGGCCTGCTCGCTCTCAAACAGCTTAGAGAAAAAGCTGACTGTCTGCTGGCGAATTTCAGAAGGCTCAGAAACGAGATCCCCCGATTCAGACCACACAGCATGCATAAACCTTTTCTGTCCGTTTTTGCGCTCTAGACCGAAGAAGAACTTTGAAGGAGCATCCATTTCCATCACATTCTGGAAACGTGAACAGACCAGCGCCCCCTGTGCTGTAATGCCCAGCAGGTCAGCTAACGCAGCTTTTTTTCTTTTAAGAGCTTTAATATGCTCTTGATCTCCTGTGGCCTCCCCCAAACACTGGAGTGCCACTATTTCAATCTCCAGCGCTTTTAGAGATCTGGTTATGTCCCTAGTGACATTGAAAGTGTACTGTTGGCAGAATGATGTTTAAAACTGTAAAACCGATCAAGTCTGGCCAATGAGAAGGCATCGCCCGCTCATAAAACATCACCCTCTTCCCGTCGTCTCTCGCCCCATTTATATTCAGAGTAGCGATCTTAATGTCACTCATTAAAATAATAACAGGGCATGAAACTGTGATGGCGAGGGCCAGTCCGAAACAGGGACCAGACGCACTAAACATCCTCATCAGGAGCCGCTTTATGTAGTTTAGTCAGTATCTTTTTCAGTCTAAAAATTTCCAGTGCAGTAAAAGACCCCTCCCTCCTGAAGTGTTTAACATTGTGTATGAACTACTGGGGGTCCATAAAGTGCTTCTCTACCTGCACACCTTTGAACCCTTTAGTCACACTGAGGAATTTTTTTATCTCTTCAGCAGTGTAGCGTACAGGTAGCCTCTCCTCCTGAGAGCACACTGACCAGCCAGAGTCAGAGAGAGAACCCTCACTATCAGTGTCGGCCTCAGCACCACTAAGCTCCTTTTTCACCTGCTTATTCCCCTTCCCCCTCCCTCGCTTCTTCCTTTAGCGGGAACTTTAAAAACAGGCTCATCCACCATGTCTACATTAGCCACAGTTTCCAGCACCACCACTTCAGCAGAGACAGCTTCACTACAGCCACTCACCTCAGTGGTCTGCCCCTCAGAGATAGCAGTGTCCCCTTCCATACTGCCTGGTTCCTCCCCAGACGGCTCCGGCACAGCAGGAGCAGATGAGGGAGACCCCCCCAAGGCCCGTTCAGCCTCGCAGTTTCCTCAGCAGCAGACTCCGACATGCTCGGTTCACCCCCCTCAGGCTCCAGGTTAGCCAGTGGGTCTGCCGCAGCCGAGCCCGCAGCAGCCGCAGGGGGAACGACTACCGCAGGCCCAGCAGCAACAGGCCCCGGCCGCTCCGGCTCAGCCCTCACGGGAGCATCAGCGTTCCCGTCCGCCTTTACAGGACAAGCACGAACAAGATGTCCCTCTTGCGCACACCAGAAACACTTCATAGCTGTTTCAGAAGAAACATAAACAGCATACTCAAAACCATCTACATTGAACTTCAGAACCAAGTCCAAATCCTCACCTTCCTTCAGAACCATGAACACAAGCCTCCTGAAGGACACCAGGTGCTTAATCAAGGCGCTCTTACAGCCGAGGGGGATCTTCCGAATGGGAGAAACAAGTTTCCCATACCGGGACAGTTCACGAGCAATAAGCTCGTCCTTAATGAAGGGGGGCACGGTAGACAAGATTATCTTTTTAGAGGGGGCAAGACCGGAGTCAGCTGACCGTTAATAATGACCCCACTCTGAACCAGATTATTAGCGAGATCCACCGTTTTCATAAACAGCACAACAGCGCTGTTCATACGGGAGGCAGAGACGATGTTGGAGTGGCCCACTGCGTTCCCTGCAGCCAGGCAGCACTCCTCCACACTCACCCTGCACACCACCTTCACCCC